AAGTCAACGGTATGATCCTTCCCTTCCACAGGGTCCCACTATAGGGCCTAACTGTGACCTAGGGAAAGATCACTAAAATAGGAATCAGAAGCCACAAGGCTCAGTCCTGTCTCTGCCATTAATTTGAGCATGATCAGTTTTTTTTTTCTCTCAATTCCATGTGGAAGGTTTTTTTAAACATTCTTTTTGTAAAATTTTGAGTTCCAAATTCTCTTCCTCTCTTCTTCCTCTCCCCCTTCTTGAGAAGGCAGGCAATTTAATACAGATTATACATGTGCAATCATGCAAAACATTTCCATATTAGCCATATTGCAAAAGAAAATACAGGAAAGAAAACCCCAAGAAAAATAAAGTAAAAAAGTACACTTCAATCTGCATTCAGACTCCATCAGTTCTTTCATTGGATGAGGATAACATTTTTCATAAGTTTTTTGGAATTGTCTTAGATCATTGTATTTCTGAGAATAACTAAGTCATTTGCAGTTGATGATCATACAATATTGCTATTACTGTGTACAATGTTCTCCTGGTTCTGCTTACTTCACTTTGCATCAGTTCATGTAAGCTTTTCCAGCTTTTTCTGAAAGCATCCTGACTGTCATTTCTTATTAGCACAATAGTGTTCCATCTCAATCATATACCACTATGTGTTCAGCCATACCCCAATTGATAGGCATTCTCTCAATTTCCAATTCTTTACCACCACAAAAAGAGATGCTATAAATATTTTTGTACACATATGTCCTTTTCCTTTTTCTTTGATCTCTTTGGAATACAGACCTAGTAGCAGTATTGCTAGGTCAAAGGATACACACAATTTTATAGCTCTTTAGTTATACTTCCAAATTGTTTTCCATAATGGTTGGATCAGTTGACCACTCCACCAATAGTGCATTAGCATCCCAATTTTTCCACATCCCCTCCAGTGTCATTTTCCATTTCTTTCATATTATCTAATCTGATAGGTATAAGGTGGTACTTCAGAGTTGTTTTAATTTGATTTCTCTAATCAATACTGATTTAGAGCATTTTTCTCATGACTATAGATAACATTGATTTCTTCTTCTGAAAACTGCCTGTTCATATCCTTTGACCATTCATCAATTGGGGAATTACTTGTATTCTTATAAAGTTGACTTAGTTCTCTATATATTTGAGAAATGAGGCCTTCATCAGAGAAACTTGCTGCAATTTCCCCCCCAGTTTCTTGATGATGTATTCAAAATTATCCATTTTGTGTCCTATATTGTTTTTTATATTGTTTGATCATAAATTCTTCCATTATCCATAGATCAAACAGGTAAAATTTTCCATGCTTCCTGATTTGCTTGTGAAATCACCTTTTATGTCTAAATCATGAAGCCATTTTGACCTTATCTCAGGATACAGTGTGAGATGTATACAGAATACAAGAATGAAAACAATCCTTGCCCTCAAATATGTTACAATCTATTAGGGGACAAAATGTGTATATATCAAAAGGGGAATAATAATAGTGGCCACCTCCAGGGGATATTTTTAGGAAAAGAGGGATAATATGGCTGTAGGACTGTGAGCTTGCTTTGGTGAGCTTGAATCAAAGGCCTTGAGCTATCACTAGTAGATCATCTCCAAGGTGATGTGGCTGTGATTCTCTTCCCTCTAAGAATCTTTCCTCCCTCTGGCTGGCTAAGACCTGGATTTGGAACTCAAGAATTCTTTATCAGTACATTGGTCAATATCTCTAGTTGGTGAAAAAAGCAGAAGGAAATGGTCAATGATTCAGGCTCACCAAAGCAAGCTCACTGTCCTACTGCTGTATGGTGGGTGCTACTACTGCTGCTCAAGATAACAACAACTATAAACATTTATGTAGTGCCATATTATCCCCCTCTTATAAAAATATCCTCTTGAGGTGGCCACTATTATCAGCCCCATTTTATAGACAAGGGAATTGAGGCAAACTGAGGTTAAATAACTTGCCTACCATCACACAGATAGTAAATATCTATGGCTGGATTCAAACCCAGTTTTTCTTGACTCCACATCTAGCACTGTACCCACTGTACTGCCTACCTGCCTACGGGATAGAGGGAAGGGGAAAGGATCTTATACCTAGCTGGAAGGCCAAGCTTATGCATTTAGGAAATAGCCCTCAACATACAAGACAAGGAACATTTCTCCTTCCTGTCCTCACTCAGCTTCAGAGGTTCCCAAACTTATTTGGCCTACTGCTTCCTCTTAAAAAAAATTTTATTCAGCACCCCCCTGGAAATCTACTTTATTTATCCCTTTATTTTTTTTTTTAATTTATGTCTTTAAAAAAAAAACCCATAAACTATTTTTTTAAATGGCACATCTTAACTTTAATCATTTGTTATAAATTTGTGGGGTTTTTCCTGCATTAAAACTTTGATTATACAATATTACATCATCTAACTGTATAGTTTCATATTTTATTTTTGGCTAGGCAATGGGTTAAGTGACTTGACCAAAGTCACACAGCTAATAAGTGTCTGAGGCTGGATTTGAACTCAGGTCCTCCTGACTCCAAGGCCAGCACTCTATATACTATGCTACCATAGTATCATATTTTAAACAAGTCATTACATGCACATATTCCTGCTGATGCATGCTGGACTTCCCAACAATGCACAACACGCTTGCCTGCTAACACTTGCTTGTAAAGACCTGTCAGCAGACTGATCAGTTTTAACTAGCATTTTGTGTGTTTATTTGGAAAATAATGTAATCATTATGCCTTTAACTCTGTTACACAACAAATGAAACACTTATGGATGTTTTTTTTAAAATTTTCTAATATCTTCATTCCTTATGCTTCCATGGCCCCCTTATCTTTATTCAATGCCCCACAATTGCACCTGAAGGTACTACTGCTGGCCCCCCATCATGCCAGCACCCCCAGGGGCCAATATTGCCCACTTTGGGAACCTATGTGAAGTCTACTTTGATATATACATATTATGTCCCCTAATAGATTATAATCTACTTGAGGGCAAGGATTATTTCATTTTTGTTTTTTGTATATTTGTTGCTTTACACAGTATCTGGTACATAGTAAGTGCTAATTGATTGGCAGATAGGCATGTACCTGAATGGAATAATGCCTCAAGAAATAGCAGGTTATGAGCAGCTGGTGCAGTGGGCAGAGTGCCAGCTTTGGTGTCGGGAGGACCTAAGTTCAAATCTGGCCTCAGACACTTGCTGTGTGACAAGGGCAACTCACTTCACTCTGCTTGCCTCAGTTTCCTCATCTGTAAAGTGAGCTGGAGAAGGAAATGGAAAACCACTCCAGTAGCTTAGCCCAGAAAACCTCAAATGGGGTTACAGAGAGTCAGACACAACTGAAACAACTCAACAGCAACAAGTAGCAGGTTAATTTGTACTAGAGGCATTCAAGCAAAGCACTGTACTTCCTTTCAGGTACTTTTAGTACTCTATCTTTCTGTTAAAGGGCCCACAAGTCACCTTATTTAGCAAGCTAGGAGCTAGCTGGTCTGGATGGGGCAATAGAATAATAATGATAATAATTGTGATTTTATATAACACTCTAGAGTGTTCTACATGCTTTGCATTCATTATACATTTTAAGCCTCAAAAAACTGTGAGATAAACATCACAGATATTATTATTCCCTTTATATAAATGAAGAAACAAGTTTAAAGAGATCTCTGTTCTCATAGCTAGATATTGTCAGAGATAGGATTTGAACCCAGGGCTTCTGGACTCTAAGTCGATTGCCTTGTCCACAAATGACAAGTTTATTGTACTTCTGTGCCTGGTAAGCCAAATTCTTGTTTTATCCTGTCTAGTAATGTACTTTTTATTGATGTTTTTATACATCACCCATATTTCCCCAAATGTCCATCCTTTTCTCCTTACCAGAGTCATTCAAGGAATAAAAAGTGGGAAAAACAAAGCAAAACAAAGCAATGCATTTAAGCTAAACTAACCAATATGCCCCAAATGTCTAACATGATATCCAGTAAAGGTTTTTAAGTCAATGATAATAAGAATGGAAAACAAAAAGGTAAAAAAAAATCAATTCTTTCCTTGACCCGTTCTAGGTAATCATTTAAAATGGTGAGGTACTCTCTTGATCCAGAGCACCCCACAAAATCATGCAAGTCAAAGGGTTCAAATCTCCGGGTCCGCTTCAAGAACACCCGTGAAACAGCCCAAGCTATCAAGGGCATGCATATCCGAAAAGCTACCAAGTATTTGAAAGATGTCGCATTGAAGAAACAATGTGTTTCCTTCAGGCGATATAATGGTGGAATTGGCAGGTGTGCCCAGGCTAAACAGTGGGGGTCAGACACAGGGTCGTCGACCCAAAAAGAGTGCTGAATTCTTGCTGCACATGCTTAAAAATGCAGAGAGTAATGCAGAACTGAAGGGTTTGGATATGGATTCTCTTGTCATTGAGCATATCCAGGCTAACAAGTCTCCCAAAATGCGCGACGGTGTACTTACATGGCTCATGGTCAGATCAACCCATACGTGAGTTCTCTTTGCCATATTGAGATGATACTTTCTGAAAAGGAACAAATTGTTCCTAAACCAGAAGAGGAGGTTGCTCAAAAGAAAAAGACATCCCAGAAGAAACTGAAGAAACAAAAGCTTATGGCACAGGAGTAAATATGATATTAGAATGCAAATAAAAGTGAAATGAAAACATTTTTTACAGTAAATATTTTTAAAGTATTTTTCTTCTTTTAAAAGTTTAGCCTTACCTCAAATAAAAAATCAAAGTAATCTTTAAGTCCACCATTCTTTTCACTATGCATGTTCATTGTCAAAAGATGTAGAATGGGTATTCTTAATGTGGGGTGGGGGTGGGGGTTCTATATTTTGATAACTGTATTTTAATACCATTGATTTCCTTTATAATTCAATGTATTTTCTTTTATTCATTTAAAATAATTATTCCAAGAAGTGATCCTTAGGTTTCACCAGATAGCCAAAGGAGTCAACGACAGAAGAAAAAGTTAAGAAGCCCTGCTATTGGGTGGACCTTTATATGGAGATTTTATGAGAAGTCATGGACAATGGTTGCTTAGGATTTGAAGATGCGGGTTTAATCTGTGTCTTTGAATCCTCATAGATATTTCACAGATATGCTGATTCACTGAAATGTGTAAGGCCCTTGTTCATTTATTCAACAAATATTTATTCAGTTCATGTCATGTGCTAGGTATTTTGAAGTCTGCAAAGACAACTGAAATAGGTTCCTTGGCCTAAAAAGTAAAGAGACAATAAATATTTAAATTATGTCAATATATTTATGATTACAATAAAGACACTTAATTTTGTAACCTTTCCTTCCCTGTCCCCAAAACTGAATTTCATGCTAGAATTTTTTGCATTTCATTTCTAGCAAGAAGAGGAAAAGTTTTAAGAAAAATCAAACGACTATAGCCTACCTCTGATTCCCTGCTACTTCATTACTATAGTCCTTACTAATGTAATAATGTAACCAAAAATATTACCAACTTGATTAATCAAAAAATCACAAAATTACAGAGTTGGAAGGACCTCCAATCATATGATGTGTCTTCCTGAAGCATTAGTCCTGAAATCTGTCCACAACACTCCCAACAAGTTATCAATCAGCTTGTCTTTGAGGACCTTTTGTTGTGAGGAACTAACTGCTTTATGAGGTATAATGTTGAATTTTTGGTTAAATGTAATTGTTAAGATTATTTTTGTTATAATAAATTGAATTCTGTGTTCCTGTAACTTTGATTCATTGGTTCTGGTTTTACATTGAGGCCAAAAAGGATGCCTAAACTTTTTTTGAACATGAAAACTCTTCAAATAGTTGAAGATTATGCCCAGCCTAAGACTCCTTGAAGTAAAAAATCACCAGTTCTCCAAAAAATTTTCAGGTAATGTGATTTAAAATCTTCTTACTCTCCTTATCACCTCCCTTTAATGAATTCTAGATGGTTAATGTTCTTTCTAATTTGGGGTGAAGAGTGCTGAACAAAACACTGCAGACATGGTCTGACTAAAAAAGAATACAGGGTATTCCAAAAAGCTTAATGTGCTTTTCAGCATCAGTAGCTTCAGACTACAGAAAAAGACTTCAGAACAAGAACTAAAGATTAAACTAAATAAAAGCTCAAGTATGAAGTCATAAAGTAACAATAGGAAGGTATGCAAAGTGCCATATAATAGTAGGATTACAGCAGTTTAGGCCTCTTTATCCTTTTCTCTACTTTTGGCAGCAAGAAATATATTTCTGAATTTCTGGAGGTGGTGTTAATTTAACAAAAGAAATATGTGTGTGTGTGTGGGGGGGTCTATTCCAATGGCTCCCCAGTGTAACAGGAGAAATGTGTGTGCTACAGGTGGAGCTTATACATAAAGTGATATAGGTTCAAATGCTCCTCCTCCAACTTGCAGGCCTAAATTCTCCCAAATATCACCACCACACAGGTTACTTTTAAACTTTCTTAGGGTCTAACTCTGTTGAGGGGAAATCTACTTTCCTTACTCACCACTCCAGGTCTTGAGTCTTTCTTCCAATATGTTTTCTATCTATACAACATAGGCTACTCATAAGACAATGTATCCGCACCATTTGTGAAATTTCCATAACCAGCCAATCACAATAATGATACTTTGAGATCTTAAGCATAATCATGCCCTTAATGAGGAAAAAGAAATAATAACATTATAAATGTAATATAGTAAAACACACAAATAAAAAAATTAAATGTTTCACAATATACATGCAAACCTAGATCATGCTTTTCCAGCAATGAGCTCAATAGCTAAGATGAAGAGTGGGCACATACTTTTAGGACCTGATATGGAACACACAAGGGAGGAAAACTAATGCACATAGTGATACTCAGACTCTAGTGACTGGCTTCAAAGTTATTAGTTATTAATTTCTGTGCCCCAATAAATTGCTTGAATATTGACCCTCACCACTCTTCAACTAGGGAAATCATTTTCTCTTGACTACTCAAATGTAGCCTCTATGAGGTCTTTCAATTAGATATCACCCTTAAAAGGATATTCAGGATATGTTAGTTCTTAATATGAATACCAGTTTTGTCAGCTCATCAAACTATCTCTTGCTTATACAGAGCAGCCTAAACAAGTATTCAGTTATGTAGATCCAATCAAAATGGAGCTCCCAGAGGGAGAGAGGGAGAGAATTTGGAACTCAAAATTAAAAACAAAACAAAAGAAAACAAATGTTAGAAATTGTTTTTACATGTAACTGGAAAAACTAATTTTTTTTTTGAAGAAAGAATGGAACTTGAAGAAACACAGTATGGTGGACACAGAGAGGAAATTCTTATGAAAAGCCTCACTTTTCTCCAAGAGAGTGCCCTCTCTCACCTCACCTAGACTTAGTGCCCTCTTTCTAGGTGGTAGAGACGGGCAATTTCTATGACTGGAGTTCATGGTCAACAACATCAGTTCTCTCTGAACTATCAGAAATTACTCCCCATAGCCTCCTTTAAACTAACTGCTTCTAACTGCCAAAGCTAAAATGAGCAAGTTTTCAGTCCCCCTGCTTTTCCTTCCCTTTTCATGCTTCTCTTCCTCTGCTGCTTCCATTGTGAAGGTCAATGGCTTGAGCATCCTGACTCTTAGTGACTCAGCTTTTACTTAAAAAGTCACAACTCCCCAACTTCTCCCCAACATATTTAGTCCTTTTTGTAACCATTGTTCAGTTTCCAAGTGCTTATATGATTTAAATTTTGTTGTAGTTTCCCCGTTTTAAATCATTAAACATTTATATGCAAATCAACTGACCCTTCATCATGCTTGCAGCTCTCTGAGGTTCTCAACACCCTGCTATCTCTTTGGTGTCCTTGAAAGGTGCTTCTTCACACTTATCATCCCTCCTCTAATATTTTTTAATAAATAAAATAACTTTCTCTGATTCTTTATAACATCAAACTCTTCCCACACAAACGAGGCACCACTCCACATTGTTGATAGGGATCTGATTCCTCAAATCTATATCACAGACCATTCCCTTCCTAAAACTGTCCAAAATTCCTTCTGAAAGTTGTATTTATTTACATGTGTATTTTATGAGTGTATACTGAAACAGTTCTTTCCCTACTCATATTAAATATCAAAATATTAATAAATAACAGCAGGAATATCTACTATTCTTTAACAATTAATATAATTCTCTTCCTTTACACAACTTTTCTTCTATTTTCACCATTAATAGCTCAATATGAAAAAAGCCTTAAAGTGATAGTGTCCCTTCCATTAACAATTCCATAACCCTTGATAAGCAGCATGAGTTGATAGAAATAAATTAAAGACTTTCTGGTTTTCTTTCTCATCCTGTATTTTCTGTTATTTTTGATCCTCAATTCAGATCTTTAAGCTTATCCCTATTAAATCTCATCCCATTGTCTTCAACATAATTTAGCAAGCACATTCCTTCTGTTTTCAAGGCATCATTTTGGGATCTGAGGATAAAAAGATGGAAAGATGTTATTCCTTCCCACTTCGTGTTGTCTGAAAATGGGGTATGCATTGCATCTATTTTGTTTTAAGTTTATGATTAATCAGGATTAAAATTAATTATGTTCAATTCACTAAGATACTAACAATTGACCAATACATCTAAGAAAAACTATCAAAAAGTTTTGAAAAAAAATGCTTTGGATTTTTTGGGTGTGCATGACATAACCCACATTATTACAGGAATGGTTTTTTTAAAAAAAGTTCAAGTCTCATCAACCAGAACAATCAATCCCTTTTCCTTTTCAATTAATCAAGATTTTACTGGACCAGGGCATTCCTTATTCACTGGCTCTTGTTCTTTGATTTGTTCTGCATTGGTTCCCCAAGCACAAGACATTCGTGTATAGATGTTATTTCAGTAATTGCAAAGTTTTATTTATAGTTTCAATACTATAGGGAGATGGAATTAGTGTGCTGAGTTAAGCAATTTCTCAAGAACGATTTTGGTCTATACGGCTTGCAGTTGCCATTAATCCAGTGAACTGTAATTAGAATATTTAATGTTCCTCTATTTTCTGTAATCATGATTAATTTACTCAACTAAAGATTATTATTTTTCAAACACCAAGAATAATTCCCCTTAAGTTATTCCATGTGATTTTCATGGTGTCAAACCAGAAAGGGAGCTTACTCTATTCTTTGCCAAGCTAGTTTCCTCCTAGATAACTACAACTTCCTGCCTTTATTCTCATGATTATTCCTCCCCCATCCCTTCCCCCCAAATTATGACTTGTATTTTTGTCTCCACTGGCCTTCTAGGAAAGACAGATGGTGCAAGAAGGTTACTTAAACCAGTGCTAATCTTAGCTGAGTAACAGACATGAGCCAATTAGGTACAATCTGATGGAAGTGGCTGTGTTTTTTTTTCCAACCTTGGAATGTGTTGTTCTATTGCTAATGTGGGCTCAGTAAAGAGTCGTCAGGGACTTTTGAAGGGAAGGATAAGAAAAAAAAAAGGACTGACAGAATCAAAATACCATTTGGGGAAGATGATTCTCACAGCATGTATAGGCAAAGTATGGGCAGTGGGCAAGCAAATGATCAAAGTTTATACCAAGACAAATCTATCCAAATATAGAAGGATGGGAGAAATATATTATAGGGCTTGAGACTGGACTTGGGATTGCATTAGTATGAGGAGCATTCAAGTGAGAAAACTCCCTTTAATCAATGCAGGGCTATACATTCCCTGTAACTTAATAGTCTTAGATAATTGCCTAGAGTACTGAGAGGATAAGTGGTATATCCTAGGTCATACAGTCAGTGTTGAGGAGATAGGGCTTGAACCCAAGTATTCCTGAGTTCTATCCACTAGGCCATGGTGCCTCCCCCTCACAATATACATACACACATTAATCCAGTTGAAGTTTGCTAGACTAATGGCAACTATAAGCCACGTGCAACAAAATGATTTTTTAAAAAAATTGCTTAATTCAGGACAGTGATTCCATTTTCTTATGAGGTGTTTGTGTGTGTGTGTGTGTGTGTGGGTGTGTGTATTCAAATTTTTTTGTTTTGTTTTTGGTTAGGCAGTGGGGTGAAGTGACTTGCCCAGGGTCACACAACTAGTGTTATTTGTCGGAGGCCAGATTTGAACTCAAGTCTTCCTGAATCCAGGGCCAGTGCTCTATCCACTGTGCCACCTAGCCCCTGTATTCAAGTTTTCAAAATGGTTTTGGCATGCTAAGGATAACAGTTGAGGGAATATAGAAGAGACTTGTACATATTCATAGGCAGAAGTAAAAAGAAAAAAAAGAAATGGAAGAGATGAGAAAGAGAAGAAATAAGATGAAAGAAAGTCTGAGAGAAAGTAAGAGCAGATAAGATCTAGAATACAGGTTATATTCAGTTATGAGGAATGTAAGATTGTCTATTGAGAGTTCATGTTAAGAGGAGTAAAAATTTAAGATTTAAGAACTGTGGCCAAGGCTTCAAAGAGTTTATGAAAAAACATTTCTTTTTCCTTGGGGAAAACTATGTCTTTTGCTGTTTACATTAAGATATTGTAAACTGCAGCGATAGAGTTTTTGAGAAAATAACCATCCAGGGGTTTATACACATTGATGATGTGTTATAAAAAAGAACCTGGTGTAGAAAAAGCTCTTAGTTACAAGGGAGTTGCAATAGAGGGCAATATCATTAGACTTTTAAAATTCATTAATAAAACATTTAATTATTTAAAAAGACTGAGGAAGAGAAAAGGATTGATTACTCATTTGTATCATGGTATGTCAGTCATTTTTACTCCACAAATAATAGTAACATTAATAGCCATTTTTTAAAATCAATTTGTCCTAAAATCCAGCCTCTTACTGCCAACTGCCTATTCTTATCCAAATGGGTATATCAAACTCAACACATGCAAAATACAATTCATTTTCTTTTTTCCACAAATATAACCCTCTTTTTATCTTTTTAGCATCTTCCCCTCTGTCCCTCTTGTTGTCTCTCTCTCTGTCTCTCTCTCACTTTCTGTCTCTCTGTCTGTCTCTCTGTCTCTCACTCCTTTTTCTAGAGTCATACTCATTTCCAGATCCAATCACTTCTCCAGACTTTTTGATTTCACTCCCCTTTTCTCTATTCACATGACCACAACCCTAGTTCAGCCCTTATCACCTCTCACATGTGTATTGTAACAGCATCCTAATTGGTTTCAATGCTTCAAGTCTATCCCTCTCCATTCTATCTTCCAAATGGCTAGCAAAATGATATTTCTACAACATAGATCTGGCTGTGTTAATCCCCTACTCAAATTCTAGTGGCTTTCTATTGCTTGTAGTATCAAATAAAGTCCCTTTGGCACTTAAAGCCAGTCACAATATGTCTCCAGCCCACTTTTCCGTACTTGTAACACTTTATTCTCCTTCAACTATTCTACAGCCTACTTTACAAGTAGATTGTAGAGCACTTGATTGTGGTAAACTGTCCTACTTGTAGTTCCTTACATGTAACATTCTGTTGTCCTTGCCATACCTGCAAGTCATTCTACTCTAACCTGTATTTCTTAGAATCCCTAACTTCATTCAAAATTCAGCTCAAACATTTCCTTTTCAATGAAGTCTTTCCTTACTCACCTCCCAATTCCCATGCTATTGCCTCAAGTCCCCAATTGCTATATATAATTTATTATATTATATA